CCAAAGTTCAGTTTGCTCCATCCCAGTACCTCGCCGCCGTAGTTGTAGGCGTAGAAGTACATGTAGAAAGCATCAACGTTGCCATTTCCCTTGTCGTTTACAATGACGGCCGCTGCGGTAGCCCCTTCGGTCTTGCCCTGCTCGTTGGGTTTTGTGCCCTTGATCCATGTGGGATCTTTCGTCACGTCGTCGTTGGAAGTGAGCCAGACATCGCTGCCCATCTGATCGAGGTTGGAAGTAGTTAGGGGCTTTGAAGGACCAGAAACCTCGTTGAACTCCACTCGCGGAGTCGTATGGTTCAGGAATGTTTGTATATCGGTGGGATAGTAGGCATCCTGTGAGTGAAGGTAGACGATGGGCGCTAAATGCAGGTTAGTCGAGTTCGATGTACAATAACAGACGGCAGAGCAGAAGTAAGTATCACTGCTTACCATATTTGAGTACATAATCGGGAACGCCATTTGGCGCCTGCCTTTCGTCCAGTGCGAGCGGCGCGCAGCTGACCAAAGATACGGCCATGGTAGCCAGCGCAACAAGCGGTCTGAAAGCCATCGTGTCGTCTTTGGATATGTAACAAAGGCAGTAGTTGTGAATGGGACCTGTGTCGGTTTGCGCACAAGAAAAACCCAGCTGCTGAATCACTGCTTCTCTTATACAAATGCCTACGCCCAGCTGACTACCGAGTCACCCCCTTCACGTCCGCATCAGACGAACGGTTTACCCACCCATTCTCCTCCACCAAACCCCATGCGCTAGCGACATTCCGTCTATGCATGGCAGACATACTCGTACTAATTCGCCTGTGTCCCCGAGCAATAATCAGCTGCCCACGCCAATAGTCGGGGAGGCCGGCACACGTGCGAACACATTTGATGGGTGACCAAAAGCAAGCGTTCGGTTCGGTTGGAATTGACAGCGGGTGTGGCTTGGATGATTGGTTCTCGAGCGCTAGGGCCCTGATAGCGAGCCGGATGTGGCGATCCGCGCCAGAGGGATGTGCCGACATTGATAGGGTGAAGGCTAAAGTGATCCACGTCTGAAACATGGCGATGTTGAGTATGCACATGCGATAACTTGCACTGACAGAATTGATGCAGGGGCTGTGAGAGGGTCTTGGGTAAGATTGCCGGTCGCGCTTGGCAAAACTGCGCCGGCGTAGGTGTTGTACAGCTCCATGGATCATATCCTATAGCTAGGTGCTAGAATACAAAGGTTCGCGCAAACTTGCGATCCATCTCCTCATACTCCTCCTTGAGCATTTTGCTTCTGAGCTTGTTGAGTCGGAGAATGACGCCCTCTTCTTCACCTTCTAGGTTCTCCACGTCCTCATCCAGGGCCTTGGTGCCCTTGACCTTCCACACCAGCCCCTTCAGACCTCCGCTCTTCGCTTGATCCCGCTTCTCGCGGGCCTCAGCAGCCAAGTAAGTCATGATCTTCCCCCACGATTCGAGACCGACCTCCTCGCACTTTTCGCACTTCTTGCGGAGGTCGTCGTTGGCGCGTATGGGTTCGAGCGATTGCGCGAGCTTGGAGGTAGAGACACCATCGCGCACCCATGAGAGGCCCTGTTGGCGTTGACTAGATGAGTCGCCGGCTGTCGCAAAAAGAATCTCGCCAATATAGTTCTTCAAGGCGGCTTCTTCGCAGCGGTCGCTTTCTTTGCGGAGGAGTGGTTCGTCGCCTGTGGGTGGTACCTCTGGATAGTCGGGTTCACGCAGCAAGCTGAACAGAGTACCGACGAGAGAAGAATCTTTTTGTGCCTGCACTGCAGGGATGTGCGCCTCTTGCGCTTCGATACGAGCACGAAGCAGCGAGACGAAAATTGGGAGTGCGGACGAGACTCTTCGTTGTTCCGCTAGAAAAGTAGCCAGGTTTGTCGCCGCGTAGAGGATGTTTGGTGTTACTGCTTCCTTGGGTGCCGTAGACGACAGAATGGCACTGTCTCGGTCGATGACTGTCGAAGGCTCGGGCGTGGGTAGGCCTGCAATGGCGATGTCAAGTGCCCATCTATACATTTCCTCCGCCGAGTCTGGAAGCTTTCTGAAGTTGAGCCAGTCGGCATAGCTCAAAGCAGCTGACAGCCGTTGATATGTTGTAAACCCCTTGGAGGTGATGACCTTGAGGTAAAACGTCTCTGGTGCTTCCGCCGCGGGAAAGCGATGCTCCTCATCTGGTGGTTCGGGCATGCCAGGAAGGACAGCTTTCGGTCGTGGATTCGAGGGTGATTGAATGAATTCTGGCGCCCACACATTTCTCCTCCACTTGTCCGTCACCCATCCATCTAACCTCTCTGCAGCGTTACCCATGCCCATCAAGACTTCGTAGTACCCTTGTCGCCACTCCTCGCTTTTGGCCGTCAGATCGAAGCCTGCCTTGCCTACACCGGGCACCATAATCCCTCCCTCTTCCTGTTCAGACAGACCTGCGCCATCCTTGTTCGGGTGTTCCAATCGGTTCAGCGCATATTCCAGCTCTGAGTAGACCCGCGCCCAGTTGGGGAAACCCTCTTCCTCGTTGTTTTCGGGCACCTGCCACCACTTTCCTCTCCGGAATCTGAATCTCGTAATCAGGCTCCACTCATGCGGCGACGGAAATGCCCGCTCTTGCTGCTCGCTCAATATGCCCAGACTTGCGATACTGACGCATGATGAGAGGAGGAAGATGAGGATGCTGTATCGCACACTCAATTTCGCCGTCTCCTTTATGAATTTCTTGTGGTTGGCGCTAATGGAGAACAGACGTTGCAGTTGACCATTGGAGAGGTGCTGGCCCGAGGGATATAGGAACGGTAGCTGTGGCCGGGGCGAGCCCTGGTGCGCGACGAGGAATTGGCGGGGATGTTTGTTCGAGAATTGGCGTGGACATGGGCGGTCAGAGGTACGCGACGTCGGAGGCCTCAGCGAGCCGTGTGGGAGCTTTGCTCGATGCGCCGGGGGCCGCATCATGCTTTGCGACTGCAATTCTGTCGCTTGAGGGGTGCATCGATGCCGTAGTTCACGCGCCAAGACAATCTTGCGCGACCGCCCGGCAGAAAAAGTTCAGGATCTCCATTCTCGTTTCGCGACGCTCCTACAGATCTACACCATTTTTGCGCGCCCACCATGTCCAAATCTAAAATTGACACCCCCGAGAAGAAGCGCAAGCGCGACGCCGAGGCAGCAGAGGATGCGCCTAAGAAGTCCAAAAAATCCAAGAAGACCGACAATGTCCAAGATGCGCCTGAAGTCGAAGCGACCGAGGTGAAGAAGGAAAAGAAAGACAAGAAGGATAAGAAATCTAAGAAGTCCAAGGACAATGTCGACACGTCGGCTGTCGAGGACGCCTTAGAAGACGCAAAGAAGGAGAAGAAGGAAAAGAAATCGAAAAAGTCCAAGAAGTCCAAGGATGCGGATGTCTCTGAGGATGCGCAAGAGGCTGATCTTATCGATGAGATGAAGTCCTCGGAGAACTTCATCAGCGTCAACGATGACGAGCCAATGCCCGATGCCAGCGAAGACGCGCCTGCGAAGAAGGAGAAGAAGTCCAAGAAAGAGAAGAAGGACAAGAAGTCGAAGAAGAGCAAAGACGCCGCCGCATCTGAGGACACACCTATGGAAGACGCAGCCGAGGAACAGAACGGCGTATCTGAAGACACACCTGCACAGACAAACGGCGCAGACTCTGACTCCAAGGCTGCTAAGAAGGAAAAGAAGAAAGATAAGAAGGAGAAGAAGGAGAAAAAAGAGAAGAAGGCAAAGAAGGCGGCAGAAGCGGAGACAAACGGCGAAACCTCTACTGAAGAGCCCAAAGCCGAGACCAGCGGTGAAGCCTCTGCAGAAGACGCAGCTGTAGACGTCGAGGGTGGCGCCGAAGTCGAGGTAGAGGGAGAGGAAGCCCAAGCCGCAGTTGAGGCTAACAAGGGCCGCTTCATCGTCTTCGTCGGTACGTCCTGTGCACATCTCGATCTAGCATACCCATCTAACGTATAATTTCAGGCAACCTTCCCTACAGTGCTACGAAAGAGCAAATCGAGAAGCATTTCGAAAAGATCAAGCCCACCGACATCCGTCTCCGTACATACAAGGGCACTGAGAAGTTCATGGGCACTTGCTTCATCGAATTCGACCGCTACGACCGTATGGTGACGTGCTTGAAGAAGTACCACCACTCTCTCTTCGCCGACCCCAAGAAGAAGGAGGGAAGGAAGATCAACGTGGAGCTGAGGTAAGCTTCCTACACTCTACACTGTCTACGCGCATCGCTGGTCCCTTACCACCCAGAATTTCACCCAATGCAAAGCACATACTAACACCACCCAACAGCGCAGGAGGCGGCGGCAACAGCGAAGCCCGCAAGTCCAAAATCTCCGCCAAGAACGAGAAGCTACACGACGAGCGTGCCCGCGACCGCGTCAAGAAGACAGAACTCGAAATGAAGCAGAGCGAGCGCAAGGCGAAGAAGGAGGCCAAGTCGGGCAAGAAGGACGGTGATGACGCTGAGGCTGGAGAGGAGGCCGCCGCAGCAGACGAGCCCTCTGAGGCTGCTACGTTTGGCATGAACCCTGCGCGTTTGGCTATGATGCAGGGTCCTGAGCGACCGCAGCATAGGTCGAGATATTGAGAACTGGATTTACAGTGAGGATGGGAATAATGTACGAGGTGATTTGCTGCGATTTATCCGTTGGCTATATGAGCGGACTTGTACGTGATTTGGGGTTCACCATCTGGCCTCATTTCAAGATACTACAGCGTTAGAGCTTTGACATCATCGAAGTTAGAAGTTTGCAATTTGTGTCTTTGCCCTCTCTCTTTTGCCAAAATATGTTTATTGTTATGGATGCAGCTCTATCGCTGGGTAAAATGGTAGTCTAAGGAGTGACTCAAGAATCGAAATGGGTTACGCGCTCAAAACACAGTCCTTGCAAGGAGTGTACCGCAGTTGGAGCTTGCGTCGCAATCAGTCGAGTTCATCAGTCCTGCTAGCTGCAGTGCTAGTTTCCTTTATGCGCAAAAGACCAAGGCTTAGTAGCCGTCGCCATAGCCGCCCTTGGACGTTGTGCAGACCGTGGTGGTGCCAGTTGTAATGTACGTGGTCGGCTTCTTTGCAGTCTCCGTGACGACAGACCCGGTGGTCTTTGAGCTTGTGATGGTCTCCTTAGCAGTGGAGACGCTGGTCTTGTAGGAAGTTCCGGTGGAGCTATGTGCGTGTCAGCCAGCAGAACACTCTGAGAAATCGCGGCCGTATACTTACACAACTGGCACGGTCTCAACCTTGGTAGCGGACTTGACTTCGCTCTCTACCTTGGTGTTGTAGATAGTAGTCACAGTCGAGTAGGTCTTGGTAGTCAAATAGGTGGTGAGCTGTGTGACCGTCTTGGTACTGGTGCCGGTAGTGGTGTATGGGTAAGGTGCTGTGACGGTCGAGAGCTTCTCAGTAACAGTGGTGACAGGAATGACCACAGTCTTGGTAGACAAATAGGTGGTCTTGCCCTCCCCGACGCTGGAGCTGACGTATGTGGCTAAGCAAAGTCAATCCAAGATCACAGGAAGCTACACGTAAACACTTACACGGAGTGCAGATTGTTGTCTCTTTGGGAGGAGGCGCAGATGAAGTCTTTGGAGGGGGCACGTATGCGCTGGAAGAAGACTTGGGAGGCACTGCAGAGTAGCCAGGGAAAGCAACAGCGACAGAAGCTGAAGCGACGAGTGCGAAGAGATTCTTGAAGAGCATCTTGAGCTAAAGACCTGAGTGATTGAGGGTGAAAGTAAAGCAATTGACGACGAGTTTGGACTTGTAGCGAAGGAGTATCGACTAGACTGTTGCAGACTGTGAAGGCTGATGATGATCTCAAAGCGCGATTATGGGGCTACTTTATACTCGAGCCTAGCTTCTCAACATACACATAACCGACGCATCGTTGTCATCCTGTGCGGAGAAACGAGGCAGAGTCGTTCTCTGGTGGCCCGGATGATCGACGAAGCGATCCGTAGTACCTTGCACATCTCGCACGATGGCTTAGAAGAAGATACACCGCGGGCCTCGTACAGCAGGTAGAGTATCAAATGACAAAAATAGGTCAAGCATGTCGATGCGGGTCCAGATCAAGTCGTCCCATGGAAGCATGCATGCATGCAGTTGCCACGCTAACAGTATCCACGAGTCTACCAGTCTAATGACTAATGAAGGGAATGCATCTAGTGTGTGCACGCAAGCCATGAAAAGCGATGAGTGGGGGAGTAAACTATGAGCCAACCGGACCTCCTGGTGTGGAGAAGAGAATTGGGAGTGCACTTGGCAAGTGTCTTTCTCTCATGGACTTGATGATGACCGAGAAACGTAAACCGTTGATACCAACGACCCGGGTAGCCTGACGAGCATCTCCATGACTTGGAAGTACGAGATGGTACTTAGCTGTGCATCAAGGACCTCTACGCAGAAGCACGTGTCGAATCAACGTGCTGTACGTCACGCACGTTTGTCCACCGGGTACCCTGGTGGTTCCAAGCAAGAGTCCCAGGAACCCGGAAACATCTGAGGTGGCGAAAGACGGGGAAGCGTAAGCTGAGTGTGTTGGTCGGGAACTAATAGTTAGTCGTCGGGTGTACCTGACGGTGATCACTGCATACTGCAGGTTGATATCGAATCTTCTTCTCGCCCGGTTTTAGTGAGGGGAAAGATGGGCAATACGAGGGAGGTGCGGCTGGAGCAATCAGCAGCTCTTGCCTGAAGGCGTCATTCGCAATATGCGCGTCTGATCGAGCACTTTGGCATGGCGAAAGCTTGTTTGTACATGACAGGGAATTGATGCGGTGGGTGAAGAGGGGTTCAGCCATTGTGGGGAATCTGGGCGCACGGCCCGAGACCCACCGACGGCGGCTTGCATCGCAACTTTTCTGTGACGGGCTGACGAAGATGTTTGCCCGGCCATTGCCTTCTCCCGCCACGCCTTTGGCTAATAACACACTCGCTCCGGGTATTTCCACGACGCCGCCTCGACTGTACGACTCTCGGCACGCCCACATTCCCCTCCTCTGTCAGCAGAGACACGCTCGGGGGTCCGCAACGTCCGCAACGAATTCGGCATGCAACGCTAGTCCTGCAGTCACCCGACAGATTACCCCAGAATACTTGCAGTACGGCTCGAGAGGTTTATGGAAGCTGCTCAGAAGATTCCGATCTTGCGAATGATGTCCCGTCCAACGGCAGCGCCGGTCAACCCCCCTTCACGGCCGGCTGAAAGCACATACGAAGGCACGCCCATTACGTCTTCACGATCATTACGCCAGCTTTCGATATACTTCCTCGGAAGCGCCTGCTTACTGGCCTCGACCGCAATAACGCGCAAGGCCGTATGGAGGCGGCAGCTCCGTGTCATGCCAAAGTTTTACGAAGCGAACACGAACCCGCACGAATACTTCAGTCCCTTCTCAGATGCCTGCCAGGCTTTGAACCTGGCCACGATGAACTGCGCCAGTGTTGGCATCATGGCGCTGGGTGGCGCAATGTGGACCTTTGATATTGCCAATCTGAGAGAAGCTCGCGCAGTTCTACGAGGCCGCTTGAACTACGATCGGATATACCAGTCCGAGGATGATGTACCGAATACCATCAGCGAGATGATAGCAGCATCCGGCCAGATGCGAATAGTAGAGGAGGACGAGAAGGACGGTTCTGACAAGAACCAATAACGACCGTTAACGTGTACAAGTACGACTGTAAGATTAGTGTATACAACAGGAAGGCTGAGTGCCTAGTAGCTGCGCATGGTAGCACAAGTACGGCACGCTTGGAGTGCCTCATCGGAGCGACATTTGCAATCGAGGCACATCATTCTGCGCCCACTGGTACAACCCCGCCTCTATGTCAAGTCGAGACCCTCAACACTGTCGACGTGTCGTAGATTATGTAGGCTACCTGATGCTAATGCACCATGTGCAGAACGCCTCGCCAGAATGTTGAGAACGACGGCGTTGTCCTCCGATCGATTGCATCAGAGGCACGCGGTTGACAATTTGAGGGGAAGCCTCGAGTATTGAACTAGTTCGCTATGCTTTCCGGTACGATCCAAAGTTAGTTGGAACGGCTACGCGGAAGGGTCCCACAACATAAGCTGAGTGCAATGTCTATGATCGGCGTCTCACCGCGACAATGTCCAGTCTCAATCATGTCTCAGCCAAAAACGGGTTGTGATGGGCAGCTACAACACGGCGTTGGGACACATACTATCTAGATGCAGTGTGGTCTGACATCACGTTGATATGCAGAGCCGCACTAGTGGTTAGGATCTTTCTGCCAATGGCATCTCTTCTAGACTAGATCGAACCAGCAACGTAGCTGCAAACGAAGATATAAGTGCAAATGTCTAGCGAAGTCCCAATGCGGCATACACAGCCAGCGACTTAAATTATACCCATCTTCACGACATACGTCGTAAGCTCGAAATTAGGAATAGTACAATAGTCCTCTATGCAAGGCGTTTTTACTGTAAATACGCAGCATAAGCTTACAAAGCCCACTTTTCACTGCGCTTCATAGCCTTGGCACTGAACATGCTTCGCCTCGAAGCTGGTCCCCAAAATCGGTCTTATGTCACGAACTGGACATATACCGTTCAGCATGTCACACTGCAGTATATCCACGTCGAGGAACCTGGGAACTCAGTAAGCTCCCACATTCGGCGACCATCTTGCAAATCCTCGTTTACTTTGGCGTTCTCTCCACCCCTACTTCGCGCCATCCTCTACCTTCACACCTTTCTGCCCATCCCTGTTCGCCCTCCAAACTCCCTCTCCACCTTCAAACCTCTCTAGCTTCCATATCTCGGCTTTGTCCTTTGTCTCTTCCAATGCCTCCTCACCCGCCCTCCACGCTGCCTGTCGATGCGGTGCCGAAACCGCAATGACAATACTCTCTTCCCCAATCGGGCATTCACCCAACTTGTGAATGATGGCGATCTTGGTGCATGCGTGTTTTGTGAGGATAGAAGTAGCGATCTTGAACAGGGTTGAAATGGCAAGAGGGGCGTAGGAAGTGTAGGCTAAAGACGAAACAGGCTCGTTGTTGAAAGAGTCGCGCGTTGTGCCTATGAACAAGACTGTTGCGCCTGCTGATGGTGATCGGACGAATTTGGTCGCTGACAGGGAGTCTAGGTCGTGCGGGGTGAGTTCGACATGGATGGTGTCCGTGGTCTTGGCAACAGGGTCCGAGGGAATGTCTGGATTGTAGGACTGAGGTTCTGTGGTTGCCATGCTGGTGCAGACGCAGAATATGTGTATCGAACTGTTATGTGGTAAGCTGTTGTCCAAGGAATCATATGAACGTGGATCAGAACATGGGAAGGGATGATCTCCGCCGTCGTGGGCGTATTCCAGCATTGTGAAAAACACTTCCAGCTGGAAAACTTACTTTTACGCACTCGGAAAAGGGCAGGATCGAAATATTTATCCAATTCTTTAAAGTTTGAGTAATTTCCCTTCTCTTGAGATCGTGTTGGTGAAATGTCGAAGATGCCGTCATAGCAGCGCGGGACAATGCTTTAGCGCCGATCAACGACGTGCACCTCACACGTGGAGCGTTAACTCCGGCCCCGCCCCTACCATAGCTCTAGTTCGCGTCGAGCCACTGACCCTGACCAAGTCCAAGCCAAGTAGTACTCGAGAAGACCTCGCTGCCTGACTCCTGACTGCCTTATTTCTCCGACCAAACATTCGCGCGACGTACACGACCGACACCCGGACCCTTCGACCAGCGCTAGCATCACTCGCTACATTACTTGCTTCGACGCGCCGTGCCAACCGACTACTCTTCAACCAAACGCCCCGACACATATACAGAACCGACCACCTTCTACAATCGAACGTCGATCCACTCAACGCACATGTACATGGCGAGGGATGGTCTGCAACACCGCATAACACGTAACCCAAGATGAGTGGGGACTGGGGGTATGGAGCCGTATTCAAGATATTCCTATGGGGCTACCTCATCGGAGGGCTGACGCTCCTACCTGCTGTACTCGTAGCTGCATGGTTCTTGGGAACCAGAGCCACGGAACAAGACAGCCATAACATCAACACCGCAGGTGACGGGACAACCCCAGAACAGCGCAGGAAGTCAGACACATCCGCAAACGGGAAGCACGACGACAACGTACAAGTCGGAGTGGGAATAGATGACGAGATACTGGAGAAGCTGAAGGGAAGGACCCACGAGCCAGATGCCTGCGCTGGATACTTTGCGGTGTGCCGGGAGTATGTGCCAGGCGGCGTGAACGGCAAACCTCCGGATCGAACGACGCCGGCCGGTGCTGTAGTGGCTGTAGAGAGCCCGAGCGTGTACCAGTCCATGTACAGGAGCATCTTTGACAGGAACAAGAACGCGAGTCCCACGATAGAAGCATCAAATGCAAAGAACAAGAAGGCCCGGAACGTCTTCTACGTTGTCCTGCGGTATGTCTATACATCTCAAGTATATGAAGTCAAACTAAGTACAGACCAGTCTCGGCCACCTTATGCTATACGACAACGAAGACCAGCTCGAAGTACGCCATGTCATATCGCTCGCACATTACAAAGTAGACATATATGGGGGCGGAGAACGCATACCGGAGGGCGAGCTTTGGATCAAGAGGAACTGTATGCTAAGGTTCAAGCTCCTGTCATGTTTCCCTAGTGCTTACAGATACAGGCATTCGACTGGTTCAACAGGTGGACAGCAACAGCAATGTCGAAGCGAAAGGCTTCTATCTCTTCTCAGACAACTGTTCCGAGAAGGAGGATTTCTACCACGCAATGCTGCACGCGCAAGAGAACCAGAAAGACCCCTCCGATACAGGCTCGCCGTCCGTTCCGCTCAAGTTCGATACACCTGATCTCGTCAAGCTAGTCCAGCAACTGCATGCTTCGGAGGAGAACCTGCATACTCGCTGGATCAATGCGCTAATTGGCAGGGTGTTTCTCGCTCTATACAAGACCTCGCAAATTAAAGACTTTATCGCTAGTAAGATCAACAAGAAAATAGCCCGCGTGCCCAAGCCTGCCATCATCAGCAGCGTACAGCTACGCAAGGTCGACATGGGCACCTCGCCGCCATTCATCACGAACCCCAAGCTCAAAGAGCTGACTGTCGATGGCGATCTCGTTGTGGAGGCTGATGTTAGCTACAAGGGAAGCTTCCGCATCGAGATATCAGCTACCGTGCGAATCGACTTGGGCACTCGATTCAAAGCCCGCGAGGTGACACTTGTGTTGGCTGCCATGCTGAAGAGGCTTGATGGACATATTCTCATAAGAGTCAAGCCCCCGCCTAGCAATAGACTCTGGATGACCTTTGAGACGCCCCCGAAGATGGAGTTTTCACTTGAGCCAATCGTCAGTTCGCGCCAGATCACATATGGCGTTGTTCTGAGGGCCATTGAGAATCGCATTCGGGAAGTAGTGAACGAAACGTTGGTGTTGCCCAACTGGGATGACATGCCATTCACCGACACCATCGCGCAGGTCATAAGAGGAGGGATCTGGGAGGATAGCGCAAAGGACGATGAGGAAGACGCAGACAAGATCAAGCAAGACGAAGCCACACTGGAGAGTGCGATCTCGGACGCCGAGAAGCTTGATGAAAAGGCTGATGCGGCAAGTGCGCACTTCTCCATCGCCTCAAGTGTTGATTCAGAGGAAGTTGGCACTGGTGTTTCTACGTCGACAGACCACAAGTCAGCCTCGGCGTCAATAAGGCCCCGCGCAATGCGGTCGTCATCATCCGTGGCCCAAGTGAAGATTGACTCGTCCAATGCTTCTGCTGAGATGTCGAACGATCGTACCATGACGCCTACAAGTGTCAAGTCGCTTCCTGTCGCATCGCCTATGCAGTCGCCAATGCGGCCTGGCAACGCACGCCAAATGACGGAATCATCAGACAGCTCGTCGGAAGACACTTCTGCTGCCTCAGTCTATGCAGCGAGCATTGCCTCCGCACCAGTCCCGAACACGGATCACTCACGCACCAAATCAAGGGAGCTATCTGCACAGGAAATTGCCGCCGCCGCCGCAGCAGCAGCAGGAGCAAGCAACATGGCGACAAAGAAACAGACCATCAACCAATCTCTCAACTCTGCCACAGCAGCAGCCAGGAACTGGCTCGCAGCCAAGCAGAACGCAAAGCCCAACACCGGTACCACCAACAGACCACCAACATCCGAGGGCCCGAGCATAGATCACGACTCATCGTCATCGTCATCTCTGGACCCCCGCCCACAACTCCACTCCAATCCCTCCATCTCGAAATCCCATTCGGAACCTATGGGCAGAGGCCAACCCCTCCCTCCCCCAGGCACACCTCTACCACACCCCAAAACCGAAAAACGGCAAACGTGGGCCATCCCCGGCGCAGCCTCCTCTACATTTGCGAATCTCACGAAACGCAAACCCGTCGTCCCGGGTCCCAGCTCCCCCGCCGTCTCCAGCAAACACTCAGTCGAAGATCTCATCGACAGCCCAAAAACAGCACTAGGCACAGCCTCCCTCTTGCCCGCCGCACACTTCCCAGATCAAGACGCAAGGACAGGAGGTGGCGGAGATGACGACGACGGCGAAGATGTGTTTCGGGAGATGCGGCGGAGGAAAAGCAGTGCTGGGAGTGCTGGTACTGCGCATACTGCGAGTGAGCTCGCGACGCCGCCGCCGCCGTTGCC